AGAGCTTGAATTAAGTTTTTTCATAAAAAGTTAACTCAAATGTACATCTCTTTTGCATTTTTCGTTCTGTAAAATAAAAGATATGTCTTTGAAATGCTCCTAAAGTCAATATTGTCAGCCAACTGGTGAATTGGTCAGTGATGAAACGTTGCTTGCTTCCACAGGATAAAGAGCAAGGGAAGAACATTGTAGTGGTGGGGAGCTGGAATGCAGAGGAACACGTCGAGTGGGCCAATAAAAATGTTGCCAGATCCTACCAGCTCAAAGAAGATGGCGTGCAGAAAGTCAAGTATGTTTTTCATATTCCTGAACTCTAACCTTCGTGCAAACTGAGACTATCTGTTACATTTGTTCTGATCTGTGACAGGTTGGTTTCCCACTTCTACGGCCACGGGGATGTTTGTGATATGACAGGGAAGCCCAGACAGGTCATTGTCAAGCTCAAGTGAGTAAACAAGTCATTTGGGAGGGTTGGGGGGGAGGGGTTATGGCCATAACACCAGTTCAGTGTCACTGCCCTGAGTTGACGCGTGAGTAAGACGATACCCAAATGTCCCAGTGTTGATTCACTCATCTCACTTCTCTTCTCTGCATCAGATGTAAAGAGTCCGAGTCTCCACATGCCGTCACTGTCTATATGCTGGAGCCTCAGACTTGTCAGTACATCCTTGGGGTGAGTACTCTATTACCCAGTGAGTCACAGTCACTGGAAACACACGCACGTAAAATGAAAGGGACCTCAAGCTCCAATATCCAGCTGTACTGGCTGTATAGAAGGTCACCATGGATCATTGGCTTCACATTCATACTGACGTCTCTACTACTCCCTCTAGGTCGAGTCTCCAGTCATATGCAGGATTCTGGACACTGCAGATGAATATGGACTTCTGTCGCTCTCCAGCTAAACTGACCAACACCATGTGACAGCGACAGCACACAGGAAGAGGACAGACGGAGAGAGATATGCGCTTCCAAACATTGAGGACGCAGAAGCTGAAATATAGAGTAAGAGAGATGCCCATGACACTGTGCTAAAGCCAAGATCAAGATCAGACTTAAGTTAAACTTGAGGCTGAGGCTGGACTTCATGTAGCACAGGAGCTCAACCCACGGCGTCACCTGCGCAACGGACAATGCTACTATGTCGGTCTAATCCAGCAGCGGGTCTCGCTCAGACGTTTGTGGAAACAGTGAAACGGGGCCGATGCCTCCGCTCCATAAGGCAGTGGATTCATCACCTATCCTTAATAATCTATGCTTCACTTTGTGTTGATTAATTGCAAGTAAACGAGTGATGAATCAGGGGATTCATAAATATCAGGGGAATCAACAATAATCATGGTGGTTTTAATTGTCTGTGTGTATTTGAGTGGGTGTGTGTGTATGTGTATGTGTGTGTGCATTCAAGTGATTAGTGGTTTGACTGTTGCACTTTGTATTTGTAGATATGAGAAAAAGAAAGTCTTATAATGTTTTTGCTGCAGCGTGAGTTTGTTGCTGTGTTAATTTGCAGGATGAGTGACGACTAAAGTGAGCGGTTGATTTAAGTTTCGTTTGGGTTGGTAGGATGTACAGAATGTGAAGGTGTGTGTGAAAATATGAAAACACACACCGGGATTATAGTCACTGCTGTATCACAGAGAGGAAAACCAAGCGTTTGAAGGAAAGAATAAAAGTAAAACTTGAAACCTCATTAATTGTCATGAATTATTCCACAGTTTAAAATAATTGACTCAACTGAAATGTTGGCAAAAAAAGGTTTAACTATAGAAAAAGTAATTTAGATGTTACTTCTAAAAAAATTTAATTTGAATTTTGTTTTTTAAGTAACCTTCATAATACATTGTCTCTGAATATAGGAAATCCACTAAGTTTCCACCAGGGGGTGCTGACACTAGTATAATCATTTGTGGGAACCTTTTTTTTTAATTATGCAGAGAAAACAACTGAGACTCTAAAAGAATCACTGCAGAGAGTTCTATTTACACCGAGGAGTTGAACCATAGCCACTGCAGTCGTGTGCATTCCCAGTGTTAATTAAAATAAGAAATAGCAGACCGACTCTGAAATGAGGGTTCGTGAAACTCCAGCAAAGCTTCGTGTGCAACTTAAATGAAGTGACGATCATCACGTCAACACTCTTAAAACTAAATCTAAGACTGTGAAGATTCTAAAAAGCTGAAATGATCTTCTTATGCAGATTCGCAGGACAATCTAAACAGAAAAAGAAAATATAAAAGAAACTAGAATGGCAGTGAAGCGGAAACCTCCACCAAGGCTCAACAGTGCCCTTATGAAGACCAAATTGAAATCTACTGAATCCAGATTTTTATTTGGATCTGTCCCAAATCTCCTACACTCTTAAATATCAGTCCCCTAAATACGTCTTTTTATTAAGCTGCATTAATTATTCCCTAATCCACATCTTACCTGACGTACACCACATCCTTCTGTCAATCCATCCCATAGTACAATCTTGGTAACAAGCAACAACAAAGAAACAGACGGGTAAAAAGATAACCTCCTCTGTGAAAGCAAAATCAATATAGTTACTTGTAATTAATAGTGTGTCAACTCAAACTGTTTTGCTGGTCTGGTTTATCAGTGAATAGCTGTAAGATAACAACCACTGACACTGCTGCCAATTCATTCATTCAAGGCTGCAACTACAACCCCCTTCATTATTAATTCATGTCATTACTTCAAATCAATGGACAGATTTTCTCTAAAACATCTGCTCATTAAATTTTATGTATACCTAGAAATATTGAGTTTCAATCATATTTGAAGAAGCATCTGTAAAAGTTTGACCTTTTTTCTTTAAAAACAACAATTATGAAGATGATAAAATGGATTTAGCAATTGTCAGAATAGCTTCTGGTTGATTTTCTGTCATTGGGTTCATCAATTTGTCATTTTTAGCTCATTAAAACAGTGAAAGCACAGATCTGCTGCACTTGTCAAACATTTATTGTTTTAAAAAGTGTATGAGGTTCACAAATACATTTTTCTTTTTAAGAAGCAAAAGTCCATCAAGGTGCAGCCACATGCCATCGACATCCATGTGTGGGCCTGTGCGGGGTTTCACAGCAACTTCAGCCAAAGACTCTGCAGCAGTGAAACCAGCAGCTGCAGCCGGTCGCTGCAGTGACAAACTACAGTCTTGGGTTATGACGGCACATGCGTGTACAACGCAGGGGCAGATTTATGTGAAAATGCATGTGTTAAAGAAAAAAGAAAGTTAATTCAGTAACATTAAATAACTTTTTAGAACAGACACTCTCATTTGCAAAAATCTCTTGCATGTTTTCATGGCAAAGCTTATGACTGGTTCTGTAAATGTTCCACTCAAGAAAACTCGACATGTACGTCCACTGTAAAAGAGAACTAGAGACTGATTATGATCCCAGATACATACATCGGATGCTGTCCATATTCCTCTTTTGATTCACATTTGATTTAAAGCCAGGGTGAGATCGTCCAAATCCTTGTTTGAGATCTCTTGGATCAGACTGAGGGAATGGGAATCTGGTGCACTGAGGTGCTCTCAAAGTCTTGCAGTGCATCTTGGTGAGTGTGGTAGTGCATGGCTACATATGACTTGGCAAAGGCAAATGTCTGAGAGCTGACAGGCTGCAGGCTGGTGGGGGAGCTGGGCCCTGCAGAGGGACTGCTGTTGTATATGCTGTAGTAGGGCTCAATGCGGGTGTTGATGGGTGTAGAGGTGCTGGGGGGGCGAGGTTTGCGAGCACCTGTGGCCCTTGGACTACCAACGCAATCCCTGGAGTGACTGGGCCCACAGGCCTGGTCCACTAGCCTCCTCTGTGGCTTGGGAGACAGCACGTAGGCCGAGTTGGTTTCATGATGGGAGGATTTATTGCGATTGACTTCCAGGCTGCCCTTCCCCATCGCATGCAGACGAGTCTTTTGCTTGCAACAGAGAAAGCCCAGCGCCGCCCACTGAATACAGCACAGCACGCGGCGGCGGAGGCCCGCGCTGTTGCGCGAGTACACAAAGGGATTGATGCCCGACTTGAGAAAAATGAGCACAAAGCCACACAGTTCAAACTGGTAATGTGCAAAGCTGCTTTCTGGTGACAAAACGTCCTGTGCCAGTGAAACCCCCATTGGCAAGCAGCACAACAGCACAGAGAACACTATAACAACACAGGTGACCACTGCCTTAGAGTCTTTGGCTGTGGCCAAGTTGACCGTAGACACCAACTGACAGCAGGTGGCTCCTTGGGCAGCACCGGGGACCAGAGGGTGGCCGGTCCTGTTGGCATATGAGTGTGTCTGAACATTCTGCAGTTTGTTGTAAGTCTGGTTGCGGTACAGAGAGGGGCCTTGGACAGCACACTGCATGCTCTCAAAGCCTGCTGCAATGAGAGGTGGAGGGGGCGGAGGACACGTGGCATCTACTGTGATGATGGGGCATTTCCTCACTTGTGCATTCTTCCTCAGGGTTTGCGCAATCATCAAGTAGGACACAGACACCACAGCTACACAAAAGGCAAAGTCTGCCAGATAGACATACAACACAACCCTTGCCTGTCCACCTCCCAGGCCGAAGTAGGGCAAGCAGGGTCCATCTCTATGTGGGTACGCTCTCATGGTCAGGAGGGAGGCCATGGTGAAGCTGGACGTCCACAACAGGGCGGTGAGGACCAGCGTGCGGGGGAAGGAGGCGGTGCGGTTGGGCTGCTGTCCCAAAACCATGCGCAGTCTGTGCAGGGCGATCACAGCAACCGTCTCCAGGGACATGATGATGAAGCCCGAGCTGGTCAGGTGGAAGGCAAAGCAAAAGCTCTTCGACACGCCGTCCCCTCCGCCTGCATCCAGGAAGAGCACCAGTGCGAACATGGGAGCAGTCACACAGCAAATGAACAGGTCACAGAAGGACAGGTTGAGGATCATGAAGTCGAAGTTTGTGCGAAACTTGCGGAAGGCCGGGTCGAAGAAGGACAGGAACACCACGAGGTTCCCATAGGAGCCCAGGCAGAAGATGAAGATCAGGAGCAGGGAGCAGAAGGTCAAGGTGGCGGTGTGAATCACGGCCCAGCCGGATGGAGTTTGGTTGCCCAGGGTGCCATTGACGGACTGATGTCTCGGCACATCCACCAGGTCTGATGGTGTAACAGTGGTGTTCATTGTATTGTTGACAGTTTATAAGAGTCCCACAGTCATCGGCTTCAACACTATCCCTTTATGTGGATGATCGGAGGATCTGCTGCCTCCGTCACTGCTGCTGCCACCTTGGTCGAATGCTACAAAGGAAACAGAGTCGTACATTAGCTCTTAGGCTGTGCAGCAGATCATAGCTGATCATCTGGAGCAGTATTTCACCGTTGAGTGCAAGCGGGTCCATATTCAAAATAAAGCTGTGGTACACAACACAGCTTCTATAGCTATGCACCACTGCATCTGGCCAATTATGCCTTGTACCCACCTCCCCAGCACCCTCCTCCTTTCTCCTGCAGAAACCCACAGGAAACATGCACACCTCTGTTTTTTTTTCTAACCTATGCAGACGATGGCTTCACATGAAGATGAAGCCAAACCTACCTCCTGAGATCAGTCGTGTGTCCGTCATCGTGGTCAAAGCAGCGAGTGATCGCACTGAGGTTTAGGTTTGCAGCAGCTCATCCAGAGATGCAGCAAGACAACATGTCTCCCCACATGTCAGCGTCGTTCTCACAGCACAGCCTCGAACAGATGACAGCCTCATACTCGGTTTTTTTTTTGCGTCCGCTCTTCCACAGGAGCCGCTGGACCCGCACCGAGCGGGAGGAGGGGGAAGTCACCGCCTACGTGTGTGTGAGCAGAGGCGGCTTCAGCGCCAGAGCCTCGGTGTGTGGCGGCGGACGTCTCCGCGAGAACTCGGGATTTAAATGAGCGTTAAAGGACATTCTCCCTCGGTTCGTGTTCTTCACGGTGCAACGATGAGAAACAGACCATAATCACAGCGTCTCTGTCACACGTCACACCCCGCAGCCGACCAGCGCTTCACCATGGCAACACGAGCCACTTCAGCCTCCCTCCATCAGTCTCGATATTTCTGTTCGATAAGGAAACAAACACAAGTCTTGATATTTAAACTGGTTCTTTACACTATATAGTGTAAAACACCCATTTTTATATATACACACTGTACAT